CAATATATTAGAGAATTTTAAACTCTTATATTGAGTTTGTACATATAGGGATATTACCTTTTTGCCTTTCAAAGACATACTTTTGAGCATAGAATTGATACAATTAATATTATCATTGCCCTTTTCTCCCACACACTTTTTCTTTTCAAGGGCCACAAATATAGCTCTGAAATAATAGGAGATCATGTTTTAACTAATTGAAAATGTGGTATATAGTTCCACTGTTCTATAATGACAGAGTAACATGTATCAGATGACCTTTGTACCAATAGTAATTCTAAATTCTTGACAAAATATTAAAAAACAGAAATTGTTTATTGGCACTAGCAGGTAACTAAAAGTAGGCTGAAACTAAAAGGGATTCTATTTATGAAATAAGGAAACCACACTGAGTGAGTTCTACATTTAAGAGATCATGTGACTTGGACCCTGAGGGTCCTCCTTAACTCATGTGGTAAATGGCTGAGAGGGCTGAAATAGAAAGCAATAGTTTATTGACATGGGAAACCACAGGACTGAATTCAGGATTGTCAGAATAGGAATTGAGGAGGAGATGCCAGAAAGGAGAGAGTCACAGATGAAGGAGCCCAAAATCTACAAATAAATCCCTCTTTAATCCTTGGTTGAGTCTATACATATGCAGAGAAAGAGTCTAAGAAGCCTAGGAAGAAAATGAAAGCTAGAAGGTGTAAATAACTGAACAAATCATTCAGCAGCTTCTTAACTGTGTGTCTACAGAATTTGGAATTTTAGTTCTCCCCAAGTTAGAGAGGGCTTGGCTAACATCTTGGGTTTTCCATTGAAACTCCAGAAGGGCCATGTGATAGGAGTAAAGACTACATCCTGGGACTAAGGGATTTATCGTAGAACTAAAGGAAAAACTGAAATAGACCTACCTTAACAAAGCTACCATATTACCTGACAGTATTTTACCTGCCTGCTAGAACAAACTTCTAAGACAATAGAATCTTCTAAGATAATAGAAGATAATAGAATCTAAAGCCTCTACCATATATTATACACAAGTTTCAATATGCCATCAGTAATTTACTAGACATGCAAAGAAATAAGAAAATGTATCCCAGAGTCAAATGAAAAATGAGTCAATACAAACAGATCCATAGCTGACCTAGATAATGGAATTGGCACATAGGGACATTAAAATAACTATGTCAAATCTGTTAAGGAATTTACGTGACTAGATAAATAGAATGGGTGGGGAGCTGGGAAATTTCAGGAGTCATAGGAAAACAGTAAGAAGAAGAACCAAATGGAAATTTTAAGAAAAAAAAAATGAAATATTTGAAATTTTAAAAATTGGAATGGAATTAATAACAGATTTATCAAAACTCAGTAATGAAAAGACAACAAAAATTAGCAAAAGACATGAGCAGACACTTCCAAAAATAAGATCTATGAATGGCCAATATACATTTGGCAAGATATCTAACCTCATTAATTATCAGGGAAATGTGCATTGAATACTCCTTTATAGTCATTAGAATTACCAGCATTAAAAAGGCCGACAACACCAAGGGATTGCCAAAATTTGAACCCTGCCACATTGCTGGGGTTATGTGTAACATGGTAATCACTTGGGAAAACTGTTATGTTCTTTATAAAATAAATATATACTTACCTAGTAATTTCACTCAATGATATTTGTCCAATGGAAATGAAAACATATAGCTACAAGATGGTTTATACAAGTATGCAGATTGATTTATAATAGCTAAAAACTAGAAATCTAATGTCTATTCACAGATGAATGGATAAAGAAATTACGGCATAGTCAACAATGGAGTATTAGAAATAAAAAGGAATGAAGTCTAAATAGACACAACACAGATGAATCTCAGAAATATTTAATATGTGATGTGAAAGAAGGCAGTCTCTCTATCTGTATATAAAATTTGAAGTTATATAGCAGGTAAAACAGTTCTGGTGGTCAAAGTCAGAACAGGAACTCCCTCCGGGTGAGGGGAGGGGAAACTGAATGGAAAGGGCACAAGGTAGCTTTTTGGGTTGATGGAAAGGTTTTGTATCTTTATTAGCATCATGGTTACATAAATGCACACAGTTGTTAAAACTTGTCAAAGCTGCATACTTAAAATCTGTACATTTGATTGTGTGTACATTATAAATCATAAATACAATGGATGGGAATTTAAAAGTAATGTAATATATAGTGCTTCGATATGCCACATGCAGGAATTGAGAAGACAGTGATTTATAATGGTTAAGAGCATGGTTGCAGCATCAGACAAATCTAGGATTTTGAATCACATTGTGAGCACTTTGTGAATGTAGGCAAGTTACTAACCTCTTCTAAGATCCTATGAAATGGAGATGATAAAATTAGTATTTACCTTATAAGGTTGTCCTCAGCGCAGTGCCCAGCACATTGATGCATGCGGTACATTTAAGCTGTATTCATTATTATTAAATAGCTCTTCAGCCAGACTTTCATTGCCTGAATGCAGTCAGGAATACTGGGATAATCATGAAAATTTTGAGAATTAGATATCTGCAAACTGCATTAAGGTGCAATCTAAATAATGCAGATATTTGACAGCATATGATTAAGTATACTAGAAAATTACATTTTCATTATCTGTTTCAAAGTAACTAATTATCTCTTTGCCAAGAAAAAACCGTTTTCTTTAAAATACTTTTCTTTAAGCTCTTGTAAAAAATTTTCATATATAAAGAAATTAGGATATATTTTTTTCCCTATACAGTAATCTCACCCTCTGTTTCCCATCTCATAATCACATCACCAAAGGTGCATGTATTTTCAGTACATATATATGCGTGTGTACTGAATATATATATACACACATTACATATATACATTACATTACATATATACCCATATATGTATATTCAGTACATATATATATGTATATGTCTGTGTGTATAATGTTGCAAACAAATTGGTAACCATACTATATATACTTTTCTAAACCTGGCATTTTCACTGAGAAATCTTTTCATGTGAAGGACTCTGTTTACCTATAGCTGGTCTATTCATTTTAAGTGCTTTTATACAGTCTATGGCATTGATGGGCTTTTATTTATTTAACCAGCTTCTGTTGGTGGACATCTGAGTAGATCCAATTTTCACTATTGTAAACAACTGTGACATCCTTGTGTACATGTTTTTTGAACTTGTGTTAATAATTTCATGTAATAAATTTAAAAAGTAAAACTGCTAATTGAAAGAATTTTAACAATATATTAATGTTTCTTTGTAAGGGAAAAAAATTTGTTTCAGCATGTGTGCATAAACAGTGAGAAAAGAGTGGTTTTTCTTGCTGCTCTATATTTCTTCCTTTTAAATAAAGAAGAATTATTTCAAAATTTACACGAAATTTTGATTTAGAGTACTTAAGATAACTACCACCAAGAGGACACGTAACACTGTACTAGACACTTTGCTGAATGCCTTCCATGCACAAAATTATTCAAATTTAATGCACAACTTTGTAACTATGTGAGATACTACCATTATTGACAAGGACTTACAAGAAAACCAGTGGTTGGAGCATCCTATATGTGGTGAATGTTAAAGTCTGGATTTCAACCTAGATTTTGTGAAATATGCAGTGTAGTGTAGTCTGGAGTGAATTAATTTCGTTGTGAGTGTCTTTGAGGATGAGGTTCATTGTCAAGCTTTGGTGACGTGCAAGTGGTAAAGTAATAAAGCCCAGATAATCTTGTTTCCCTATGACACTTGCGAGGCCAAAAGTGATGCCTCCCTGCCATGCAGTGGCAGCAGAAGTCAACCTGGACATTAGACAAGTCCAGGTTGTCTATATTTCCCTTAGTGCCAATAGCCTGTCCCATATCCAGCTTCCTCTAAAATAATAATAATGATAATAATAATAAAGAGCAAAGATCAATTACATGGTGTTACGAACTGTGGAGAGAAGGAGAAGTCTTCAGACTTCTAATATTCTATTTTCACATCCCAGTTACTATTACTCTCTCTTTGCCTTTATTTTACAGTCTTGCTTTTTTTTTTTTTTCTGTCCAAGGGGCCCGTTCACTAACAACCAAAACCCCAAATTCTCAGTTTCCTAATTTATGTGTCTGTGATCTTTTAGTCTTGTACCCTTCCACCTGTGCGCTCACACACAGAGAGCTTTAATTTCCAGTGACATCAAATTTGTGCTCTCAAAAGGTAATTTGTGATGCCTCAATGTGAAAGGGTCCCAGATGTAAAGCCAGAGAGCTGATGAGACCTGAAGCTGGTCACAGGCATAAAGCCTGCCCCTCTGTCAGAGTCAGAGCAGCACAGAAGTTCTGCTTCAGGCCCCGCCAAGGGAGAGTAAGGGGTGGTCTTATGGGTGTTAAGCAAGACCGAATCTACCTTTGCGCAGCACCCAGTCAGACAGCCTGCAGAAACACAGTCATATTTGTGTCATTCTGTTGCAGGGAGAAGTTGCTCAAAGGTTTAGTTTTGATTTTGGTAGCTTTAATTCTATTCCTTCAGTTTTGAGGTGAGCACAAATGTTTCAGAGTACCTTTCTAGGTTTCTTCCTGACCTTTTTTCTTCTCTAACCTGTGGTGTGTTAGAGGCAACACATAACAGCTTGGGAGGGAGAGACAAGTGTGAGCATTTCTTCTCAACCCTGTGTTCAGTGACATCAAGTTAATAGCTTAAAATTGGATATGGGGAAAGGAATTATACCATTGAAATGGGAATATGCTCCGTATCAAGGATTCTCCCACCCCAGAGAACCTGTTGTTGTTTAGCACACAACTTCTATAACCCTTCTACTTCTGTTCACTACATAAACACACACACACATACACACACACACACACACACACAGATAAGCTAGTGTTTGAAACATTGGACACCCTGGGTTTTCTTCCATGGGCTATGGTTATTTACAGGAAGAACAAATTGAGTTCTTTTCCTCTTCCCATCTTGAGCTTTACATTTTTTTACAAATGCCAAATATAAGCTAACTTTCTTCTTTCTCCCTTAGTGGATGGCTGTATTCATAGAGCAGCTGGCCCCTGTTTGCTAGCTGAATGTCGTAACCTGAATGGCTGTGATACTGGACATGCAAAAATCACATGTGGCTATGACCTGCCTGCAAAATGTGAGTACAACTGTTTTGAATACTGTTTCAAAATCAGATGAGACGTCTTGTTTTAATCCAGTGTATAAATGGAAAAGGAAATGGCAGTGGTGGTACTTAATTAAATGTGCTTGAGTTCAGATTTTGTACATGGTAATAAAAACATGCTTTCCAAATATGTCTCCAAATATATGCAAATATATATATTATATACATAGTGTATATAATATATATGTATATATGCACATATGATGTTTAACTATTCAAATCTTTGACAGAGTGTCTCTGAAAGGGAAATAAAAATATGAGCAAAATATACATTATAGCATTTAAGTGCCACAGAGTGACAGCTCCTGGAAATGATGCCAATTTCTTATTCCTTGTTCAGGTTTCTTGATTGTGGATGTGTTTAGAGCAAAGGAGATCAAAGTGATGTATTGTGTTTTCAGCTGCCATGTAAAGGCTGATTGGCAATTACAGCCAAGGCATCTGTCACACTTTGCTTTCAGGAAAAGCCAACGAAATCTGGTTGTCAGTGTGAGAATGTATTTGCTCTTTGAATGTGGAATGGTCAAAATTTCCATTATATTTTAATAGAGAGAAGTATTGCATTTTATTGACCTTGTTGCTTAGTCATTCAACCAACTGGGTGGCGTGGTATGGGATAAAATACTTAGAGAGAAGCTGGTCAATGTCATAGCTTTTTTATCCCATAATTTTCAGGGCCTGAGGATGGAGGTAGAGGGTTTCATTGCATCATTCAGGTGTGCATTGACCTGGAAACTGAGATGCCAATTTGTCGATTATCGCATTCACCCACTTCTTATGATACTGCTGAGATCTGTGAATACATTTTATGTAAAAGTGAAGCTGGTTTTGGTTTTTATTTTAGCACTGGAGAAAACATGAATGGAAATTTATAATACAACCTATAGGATACTATGGGTTATATATAGACAGGTTGTCTAACAGTGAATTTCCTGTGGATGTGTGTGAATGGAGAATAGCATGTTATATTTTAAAGATTACTGTAAAGGTATGTTTAAATTTGAGGACTTGTAGTAAATACTAATATATTAAAACAGTATTTTTCTTTATCAATATAATATTGCATCCTATATTGTTCATAATGGTTTCAGTGAAAGTACTTTCATGTACTGCATAGTGATGCTTTGGTAAATGATGGAACACATATATGACAGTGGTCCTATAAGATTATAATACAGATTGAGTATCCCTTACCCAAAATGCTTAAGACCAGACATGATTTGGATTTTAGATCTTTTTTTCAGATTTTGAAATATTTGCATGTACAAAATGACGTAATTTGGAGATGGGGCCCAAGTCTAAGCACAAAATTCATTTATGTTTTATATATACCTTATACACATAACATGAGCATAATATTATGCAATATTTTAAATAATTTTGTGCATGAAACAAAGTTTTTATTGTGTTTTGGCTGTGGCCTGTCACATGAGATAAGGTGTGGAATTTTCCACTTGTGACATCATGTTGGCACACAAAGTTTTAGATTTTGGAGCATTTTGAATTTCAAAACTTGGATTAGGGATTCAACCTGTACTATATTTTTACTGAGCCTTTTCTATGTTTAGCTATGTTTACATACTTACCATTGTGTTACAATTATTTGCAGTATTCAGTATGTAACATGTTGTACAGGTTTGTAGCCTGGGAGCCATAGGCTGTATCATATAGTCTAGGTGTGTAGTAGGCTATACCATCTAGGTTTGTGTAAGTGTACCCTATGATTGCATAACGATGAAATCACCTAAGGAGTCATTTCTCAGACCATACTCCTGTTGGTAAGCAAAGCATGATTGTATATCAACTATATATGCTGTTTAATTTTTTCTCTAATGACTTTTCATTTATTTTTCTTGTTAGTGTCTTTACCTAATGTGAAATAGTCAAATCATGTGCCAAATGGCTCTTCACTACTACTTGGAATATGTATTTGTGTCAAACAAACCCTTTGTGTAGAATGGTGTTTAGAGCAGTTCTCTTTGTAACTCTGAGGTCATGATCTGTGTATTAACGGTGATTTCCCTCTCCAGAATTATATAGTGCTATTTTTTAAAATGTTGATTCTTTTCCTTTCTAATACCTTGCTACATTCATAATTTACCTAACTTATACTGCCCTGAGAAGAAGCAAGGTTGTCGACTGCTATAATAATGGCAAGATTATTGACTGTTTTCAGACTTGTATTTGTCCTTAAACCAAGCAGTATTCCAAGTCTCCTATTGATTCACTGTTTTCTTTTTTGTGTATTAAAACACAAATCAAATTTCTCCAAATCTGAACTTTCTAAAGAACAATATACTCAGAATCATTAAATACTCCCAAATAAAATGGTGGCTCTAGTGTATGGGTTCATACTGTGATAATTTTTTAAATGTGCTTGTATCTGTTTGACATCCCTCTGAATAAGTTATTCTGTTTCCTTTGAATGCCATTCATCTTATTTTAAGGTTATTGAAGACTTGCACAATACCAGGCACTGAGGAACAAAGATCAATAAGTCAATACCTGTGCTTGAAGGATTCCAATGCTTGAGTCATCACGTTGAACTGAAGTGTAGCTTTCATGGGCATCCTGGGGCAAGGGGATCTTTTGGGACAGTGAAGCTAGAAATGACGAGTCAGTTGGCAGGACTAGCTACAGAATCCATGAGAGCTGAGATCCTGAGAGCCAACACATACTCAAGTCACTGCATGCAGCCCACAGGGCATGTTTAGTAAAAACTCATCCAATAGAATAGAAATTACCAGACAGGCATTGCAGTGCCACCTCATAAAAGTCATAAACATGGAATATTTGTGACTAGGTCTTGTTTCTTCCTATATATTTAAAAGGTTAATGATTTATATTAAAAGCATAAAGGAAAGCAAGGAAAGCAATATGAAAATGAGTACTAATAGCTTACATTTTTATGCCACTTTATAGTATTTCGCAGTACTTTCACAAGCCCTTATATTTAAAATTATGTTTTATAAACATTGTGTGTGTTGATTTTCCCTTTCCCTATCCCTGAGAGTTGTTTTTCTTTCACATCAATTTGGTTTATCCATTTCAGAGTCATTAACAATCCACAGATGTGCTTTTGTAGTGAGAATGAAAAGGGAGCTCATTACATACTGTTTGGGTCATTTTTCCTCTCTATATTTAATAATTCCATGACAGTTTGACAGCAGAGACTAGTTCCTATCTGTCCTCTGAGACAGCAGGTTTATCATTATAGGGGTACTAAAGCGAGTCATCCAGCCACAAGTGATAATATCTTCATGCATCAGCAATTTGTTTGGAAAATGCTATTGTCTGGGTTACAGACAAATTTGATAATTTTGAACTGGTTTTTGCCTGTTTTATGCTTGCTAAATTAATCTATTCATAAATGGTTGTATTTGAATTAATTATGCTTGTATTCTGTGTTCTGTGACTCATCATGATTGGCAGAATGATAAGCCCCAGATATTTAGTTTACTTTTCACTGCTTGGATGTTTTGAATGATTTCTTTTTGACGTTAAGAATATCCAATCATTCTTTTCAAAAGAAATCTTAAGGGTAGAAAGAATATTGGTCAATTTTTCATTGAAGCCTATTGGTAAGGAAATGACTTAGAAAGTAGATGGAGGATTGTTTATGTAATTGGATCTTTTGGGAATCTTCTCTACAATATTAGCTATTTTTTGAATTCATAATACAATTTAAATTTTTATAGATTTTTAGAAGCTTATTGACATATGGGACATTTCTATTCATGCTATCATCATTCCACCAGGTAGTCAGCTTCACATGGGCATGATTTGTCTACCTGAGTCAGTTCCGATGTCAATATCAATCATAGTGTCTCCTAAATATGTGCTGAATTAATGTGAATAAATGAAGGATCAAATGAGTGAATTATTTCAGGACTTTTTCACTTGAAAAATAATTTTTTAAAAACACTGTTGCCTCCACTTCTAATACTTTTCCTTCTGCAATTATTCTGCACATTTCTAGTAAATTAACTTTCTTAAATCCAGAGTCCTTAAAATTGTCTACAAGACTTTACATGATGTAACATTTACTTCTCTACATCATCTCCTTCTATGCTTCCCCAACTCACACAGGCTGCTTTGTGTGAACCTGGTCCTCAAAGCCTTTGCACTGGCATTCCCTCTGCTGGAGTTCTGTTCTTCTAGATACCTACATGGCTTGTTCCTTACCTACCTCAAACTCTTGTTCAAATGTAACATCAGATGTCACCCTAACCAACCTATTTATAATTGCTTCAGTTTTTAAATTTATAATTGCTTACCTGTAAATTAAATCTTCAAATATATCATTTACTTATTTCTTTTGTTTCTTATCTGTTTCTGTCTACCAGAATATGGGCGGAGACTCTTCTTTCTGCATTTTTCTAATGTATTGCTCATTTACTTATTTCTTTTGTTTCTTATCTGTTTCTGTCTACCAGAATATGGGCAGAGACTCTTCTTTCCGCATTTTTCTAATGTATTGCTGTATTCATATAGCTTAAAAAAATGTGTGATATATAATAGGGGTTCAAAAGATATTTGTTGAATGAATGAATAAAATGTAACTCTAATCCTCTCAAAATCTGATAGTGGATTTTTCCTTAAACATAGACTCATTAGCCTGATTACCTTTGGCCTTCCACTGAACTACTTACAACCTTTTGTACGATATGAATTGCTCACAATGCTATGTCTATCCATGGGGTCTGTATCTGAGCTATCTATAATGCTCTTTCTTTGCTCCTTTCACTTGTCTTCCAGACTCAGTTCAAATATCACTTCTGCCATGAAACAAGTCTTCTCTTGTCACCTCAGCTAAAAATGCCTTCTTTTTTCTTCACACTCCAGAATACTGCACGTTAACATACTGAGGGCACTTGTCACATGCTACCTTTTATTGTTAGATATGCAAACTTTCCACCTTTATAACAGACTACCTTGTATATCACAGGTACTAGAGAAATATCTAGCAAATG